ATTCAAATAAAGACCGATTGTGAATCCCAATGTTTCGAGAACCCAACAAGTCAGGTCTAGAAGTTTGAGGAAAGCTTGAAATAGAAAAGGACAACTTGACAATGTAAGAAGTTCAGAACTACAGATGGAAGGTTCTCACCAACATCTGATGAGGAAAGTCAGGATTGTCAGTAATCAGATGACTCCAGGCTAATGTACAAATCAAGCCAGACATGACAGGTGCAGAGAGCTGAAAATGGCTTGAAGACCAAAATCATCAAGCATGAAAGAATAGGCACCATTTAGACAAAAATACTATGTCAGACATACTTGTATCTGCCTATAGAGGGATGTGCAAGTTAGTCAACCCTTCCAGCTGGTGGTTAGGAAAAGTCACTTTCAGCTTACAACCAATCAATTTCTAGAGAAATGGTTGAAAGGGACAACACCAGGTGGAAGCCTCTATAAATACCCACTCAAGCATCACAAGGAAGTGGTCCAAGACCATTTCTAAAGTTCAACCTTTAGCATTCCTATCATTTAGCACTTAGCTTTTATTTCATCAAGCTCAGTTTAGCACTTAGCTTTTATTTCAGCAAGTTTAGCTTAACACTATCAGTTTAGTACTTAGTTCATCTTTCAGCATTTAATACTTTAGTTTCCATTTCAATCAAGAGTTTGTAATTCATTCATCATTGTAATCAGCCAAGTTCAATGAAGAAAGGTTTGCAGATTCAGGTATATTTATTGTCCAGTTAAGTTGCTTCTAATTCATGCTTATCTTGAGTGTTTAAAGTCCTTTCTTAAAGGCAATAGCAACCTTAAGGAGAGGGTCATTCCTTCTCTCCAACTTTCGCCTGAATCACCTTAGGTCGGTGACCCGACTCGATAGGAATAGTTTGGCAAGAAATATTCGAGTCCATCAGGACTCTGGCACGCCCGCGTTCTAGGTCAGCCGTTCATTGGTTAGCGACCTCAGACCACTTTGTGAGCCAAACACCCATGTCAAAAATTTGAACTAATACCTGAATATTTTGCTTCAGAATCGCAATGCGATCGGACTTGGGTGAGTCAGGGACGGAGACTTCGCTGGTCACCCATCGGTGAACGGGATTTCTCTTTAGGACGAGTGTTTCGTGGGTAGGATACGTGAGAGACAGAGTGTCTGTTTGGTGGGTAAGAAACGTGAGAGACAGACTGTCTGCAATGAAAATATGCTAGCAAAGAAGAAGAATGTGATGGTGTTGAAGAAGAGAGAGACAGAATAGGTGAAAATTGAAGAGAAGAAGCCATTATTATTATTATTATTAGGGTTAAGCGCAAAAAAAAAAAACCTCTATCAGTCCCTGTATGATAAAAAATCTTCCTATACTATTAATTTGGTGCGATTGGACCCTGGTGATGTAAAATGACGATAATACTCTCACTTCAGTTGAATAAATTAATAATTATAAATACAAACATATAAAATGACCTTTTTGTCCAAATTTGTATAAAATGAAATTTATTTGGAAGAAAGATAATATAAACCTCAAATTATATAAAATTCAAATAACTTAAACCTGAATATAATTAAATTTAAAACCAAACATGTCCTTTCATATTTTAAAATTTAAATAAATTTGTCATTTATATACATACATATATATATATATATATATATATATATATATATATATATACACGTGCATACACCATATATCATTAGGGCAAATCATTTCAGCCTCCGCCTCCATGGCTATTCTCGTTCTCAACTCTGAACTCTCTCTGCAGAATCAGAAGTTCAAAACCCATATATTTTAGTTTATCTATCTACTGCAAGAATCAAAAGTTCAAAACCCATATCGGCATATCATTACAGATTGTTCAAAACCCATATATTTTAGTTTATCTATCTGCTGCAAGAATCAAAAGTTCAAAACCCATATCGGCATATCATTTCAGATTGTTCAAAAAATCAAAACCCATCGCCCGCTGTTCCAATTCGGGTTCGCCGTCGCAAGCTTCAGCCGTTTTTTCCAGTTCGGATTCGCCGTTTTTTTTTTTTTTTTTTTTTTTTTTTGTCGAAATCAATGATTAATGGCCATTGTAAATTGGGGATGGGTTGGAATATTAACATATAATCATCATATATCATATGAGAAAGAGATAGATGGGATTCAACCAAAAAAGAAAAAAAAGGCAGATGGGTGGTGTCACGGTTAGGCATAGATGAGTAGAGAGAGAATTGTTTTTGGATCCATAACTGACTTCTTCTCTCTCCCTTTCTCTCTCTAGACAACTGCACAACAGAGACTCCATGGTAAAGATCCACGGGTGTTGCTATTTGACTCGGATCCTTGCCGCTTATATGCGTGAGGTGAGGCAAAAGAGGCTGAAGGCGACGTGTCAGTTTGGTGCGGCGGAGGCAGTTTGGTGGGCGTGTATGTACATTATGTATACACACGTTTGCCTTTTTAATCAAAATCGGTGCTATTATTGTTTTGCTTATATAATAATTTAATAAATACATATAAGATAAATATTATATTTCTGTTACAAAATAAATAAATATTACATCTCTCTAGTTGTTGGGTTCTTTGGGTTTGTATCTATATATATATATATATATATATATATATATATATGCATATTTGCCATTTTTAATTAAAATTGGTGCTAATTTTGTTTTGCTATAATATATAATAATTTAATAAGTATAAGATAAATATTATATTTTTGTTAAAAAATAAACAAATATTACTCCATATATCCATACAAATTCTAAAGGTGAATCAAACAGAATTAGAATTCTAATATAATTAAAAAAATAATAAATTGAACTAGAATTATAATTTAATTCCATAACCAAACGTACCCACAGTCTTTTTTCTTTTCTTCTTTTTTTTTTTTTCCCTTTTTTTCATTAATAGATAAAAGTTGCCTATTGATAAAAAAAAGAAAAGAAAAAGCAATAAAAGGGTATATTTTACTAGTGATGATAACGTGAAATTTAATTAATTTATTTTTGTTAATGTTCTTTTTTTTCTGTTAATATTTTTTCTATTTCTATATCAAAATATTGGCTGCTGAACACAGTATGGGGGGCCTTTTATGCACAACGCTGAGAGACTTTTATGCACAAATGGTGAAGGGCAAAATGGGAAACAAAAGGGTAAAATGGGGTTTTAAGTTTTACTTTTCGTAAAAAGTTGTCAGAGGGATCGGTTATACACCTTTTTTGAATTTTAAGGACTTGCATGCACTTTTTCAAAAAGTAAGGACTTGTTCTGCACAAAGTCTATATATCAGGGGGTTTTTTTGCACTTAACTCTTATTATTATTATTTTTTTCGGCGGCACATGCCATATGCCATAGTAATGGATATATATATATCGAAGTTATAGAATTTTGGATATGTTGCTGAGTATAGCATAAATGTTTTGGATATTAAAAACATGTTATGGCTAGTGTGTATTGATTTCAGAAAAGTGGTAAAAAAATTAATAAACATAAGGTAAAATTGCAAAATATTTCTTGAACATGTTTGGGGATATTTTTTATTTTATTTTATTTTATTTTTAAAAAAGTTACTTGAAAATGGAACAATCATTCCATAAATTAAGATGTTAAATAGATTTTCATTATAAGATAATGACTTTTTCAGATATTTCAGAGTTTAATTTTTTTATCAAATAAATGAATGAGTGGAATATGTATTTCATTCCATTCTTGCGCACCAAACATAATATTATGTACTTGTTGTTCAAAAAAATTATTATGCTCCTAACCAAAGAAAATTAGATTGAGAAAAATGTTATTAATTGAGGGTGTAATTATCTTTTTGCACAATAAAAATTAGACAAAAGTGTCTACACGTACAAGATGAATCGTCCTCATTTTCTCATGTTTGGGAACTACTGAAGGATTAGCATGGATGGACTACTGAATTGGACAATAGGTCTCCTTATGGGTAACTCTCGTTTTCAGCTTTTCCCCCCTTCAAATTCCTCTTTCCTTCCTCTCTCATCTATTCTTTCCTTCTTTTTCTTTGTGATTCTGTTTGTTTCTTGTCTTTTATTTATCCACTTTTTTCCTCTTTGGTTGTGCATTTTCTTCAAAATCTTCAAATCAAATATATTCACAATTAAGTTTATTGAACTTGTAATGCTAATTACTAATCTCTCAATCTTAAATGTTTATTTATTTCTCGTTGCCTAAAACATAACTTGTCAGTTATATTCTAATGTATTGGTTGATCTAGCTCATTACCAAGTCAATGTAGGGGAATGCTTTGCATTCACTCTTCTTATAAAATCACGAGAGTTAAGGGTGTCTTTGTCAATTGCATATTTTAGTACATGTGCATTGCTGCGTTTCAAAGTTAATTTCGATTTCAATAAAATAACATTGCGATACCTGTTAAGAGATTGAAAGTGTGAAGTGGTGGATCCCACATACTCTTTCTTTTGTTAAGAGTTGTGGCTGGGACAATTGTTACATTTCTCTTTCAAACAATATCATTTACTTTGTACCTTTTATGGCTCTCTTGCCTTCTTTTATGAAGAAACACACCCTCACTAGCAAGGCTTATGATGTCCACTTAATAAATCTACCATTTTTTTTCCCTGCAATTCTCAAAGTTCAAGCTTTCTGAGCACCCCTCTCTTAACAAAACATTCCCTAAGACCTAGACTTATGTCTCTCTACTTGAACATCAACCTTTCACCTTCCCTTTTAATAGTTAGATTTCACAAAAAAAAAACCTCATATGTGACAAATCCTTTTCCCTAAAGAGTTCATTTGTAGTTGTCCATGCAATGAATTCAAATGGCACAAGAATCAGGTTTTATTGAGAATGTTTCAAAAGCCCTGTATTAAACAATATAGGGTAACAATTATTCTATGGTTAAATAACCACTTTCATGCCTCTAAAGGAACATCTTTATTGTGTTTTCCTATTATATATATATATATATAGTTGCATGACAGAATAAGATATAAAACTGAATTCCAAGGCATGGGATTGAAGCTGCAGTTGCTTAAAGTCCATGTGATCGTAAAGAAAAGACCGAAAGCTTGTTCCCGTCTCCCCTAGTGGTTAGGGTATCTGCATCAAGGTAGGTAACTTCAAATTCAGTACTGCTTCCTGTTTTTGCTGCCGGCCTTAGTGCATCAAGAATCGCCCATGGTGCTTGTGAATTATGTTGTGACTTGGAGCTGTCATATGTTAATTTAACCTTTGACGACCCTGTTCATGTTAAAACAACATTTTTTTTTTCAGGACAATCATTCTGTGTTATTATATACACATGGTACAAACCATTCACAAGCTAAAGTCTAATTTATGAATTTGAAAAAGCAGGCCAACCTATGAGTTCCAATTTGTGGGCGAATTTGTCAATCTTTTTACCAGGTTCTGGACCAGTATATTCAAGATTTACTATATTATCAAAATCTTTGCTTAAGATGTCAATCCTTTGAAATACCTGATCAGAACAAAAAATGGCCATCAGGTCAATAATTTGATAACGTTGTGCACTGTCAATCTTCTAGAATATATATATAGATATAGATATAGAAATAGATATAGCAAAAGAAAAGAGGGGTTGAAGAACACCTCGCCAATAGTTACGTGGTCAGGCATTGCAATGGCCGACTGAGAGGAGAAGGCACTGCAATATCTGAGTTTCCACCAGCCTCGCATTTTATGAAGATCAATTGGCTCTCTAACACCTTCAATCTCCTTGGCAGCAGCATCTGCCTTTTGTACATCATCTTTGCTTGCAACAAGCCCTCTATTTAGCCCTGAAACAACACCCTGCACCAATTCACCAACTCTTGTGCGTGAAACCATCCATCATCAATTACACAATAAAGTGCACACTTTTTGGCAAAATAATTAATTTACTGGGATGCAATCACATAACAATACAAAAACAATGATTTTTTTTTTTTTTTTTTAAATTTTATAAAAGAATAAATATTATTTTATGCTACCTTCACTTGTGATAATATGTATAATGTTATTTTTTATTTTAAAAAAACAGTTGAACAACTTAAAATGTATTCATATTATTTTTAAGATTATCGAGTAAACTTGTGTTAGAAAGATGCTTGACGAGTATGGGTGTCCAAAACTATGAAGATGAGAGTAATTTACCCATAAAATTATAATGCCTGCTGTTCAGATTTATTTATTTATTTTTGGGTAAGGAATACTAATGCCTTTTCAAGTATTTGATAACAATAATTTCAATCAAAGGATAATTTCCATCATCAACCGTAAGCACAGAAACCAAAAAGAATCAACAAAATGAAGTGTAGATATGCAGAGTACAAAATTGAAAGTATATAATATATTGAGCTAGCAGTAAACTCAATTCAACTGAACCCATAACAGAATTTTGAACTAGTACCTGAAATTTGCACTTCAGAGACGCAATGAGCTCTGACTTCGGTTGTGGTGGTGGTACAGGGACGGAGACTTCGCTGGTCACGCATCGGCGAACGAGGTTTCTCTTATGACGAGTGGTTGGGTAAGATATGTGGGAGAAAGGGTGTCTGGGATGAAAAGTAAGAGTGTTTCGTGGGTAAGATACATGAGTGAGAAAGGAAGAAGAAGAAAAATGTGATGGCGTTGAAGAAGAGAGAGACAGAATAGGTGAACATTGAAGAAAAGAAGCCATTGATTTGTGTCACAAAAGTGTTTGTTAAGAAGGAAAATGACAGGTGCTGATTATCAGTTTTGTTATGCCACGGACACAAGTATCATCCATATTTATGTGAAATTTATGTGGGCCCATCTCTACAGAGAAAAGCCAATTTCGCTGTCAATATTGTAACTCGGAGTAATGAATATTTTTTTTTTTCATAAATAAAGTAATGAATATTCTCAAAAAAATATGAAAAGAAAAAGAAAAAAAGAAGCTGACATTACTTCCGAGTTCTTATAGAGTAAGCCACTGTTTTTGCGGGGTTTTGAGTGATCATTTTGTATTTGTAAGCTTTAGTAATAGGTTAATGTATACTCTGCTGATGCAAGCCAGTGTTGGCTTGGATAACATGATGCAATAGGTCGTGTTGTTCTTATTATGACATGCTTTACTACATATACATTATGGCATTTCGGAGCTAATCCTGAATTTAAATTGAAGATATCGTACAACCGAAAGGGAGTGTGAAGTGGTGGATCCCGCACACTCTTTTGATACCATTGCTATTTCAAATAGTATCATTTGTGTGTTCCTATTATGGCTCTCTTGCCTTCTTTTCTGAAGAACCACACCTTGCAAGGCTTATGCTGTCTACTCAATAAATCTACCATCTTTTTTCCAGCAATTCTTTAAGTTCATGCTGTCCGAGAGCCCTCCCTTAACAAAAACATTCCCCAAGTGAACGTCAACCTTTCACCTTCCCTTACTAGTTAGATATGACAAAACCTCATATGTGACGAATCATTTTCCCTAAAAGTTCATCATTTGTGGCTGTCTATGCAATGAATTCAAGTGACACAACAAACAAGTTTTATAGACAATATTTCAAGAGCCCTGTATTAAACAACATAGGTTGACCATTACTCTATGGTTAGACAACACTTTCATGCTTCTAAAATAGCATTTTTATTGTGCTTTTCTATACATGCCACCATATAAGAGAGAGAGGGTACGTGGGGGGATACTGTTACAGTTGCATGACAAAATAAGATTTAAAACTGAATTCCAAGGCATGGTATTGACACTTCAGTTGCGTAAAGTTTATGCGATAACAAAGACCCTAAGCTCGCCCCTGTCTCCTCTAGTGATTCGAGTATCTGCGTCAAGGTATGTAACTTCAAATTCACCGCTTCCTGGATTTGATGGAGGCCTTATTGCATCTGGAATCTTAGGTAGCTCGAATGCTGGTAATTCTGATAAATTTCCAACTGTCTTTACGGTGGTTTTCTCAAATACTATTTTAATCTTTGAAGACCCTGTTCATGTTGAAAGATCACAATTCACAAGCATTCGTGTGTTATGGTACGAACCATTCAGAAGCTAAAGAATTTATGAATTTGAAAAAGGCCTACCTATGAGTTCAAATTTGTGGGCTAACGTGGCAATCAATTGAACGGTCGGAATAGGCCATGGAACGCCCAATTGAAGCTCCACTATATTATCAAAATCTTTGCTGAAGATGTCAATCCGTTGAAATACCTGATCAGAACAAAACATGGTCATTAGCAAGCAGTTTGTATCTTGTGCAAGTTAAGGACCCCATAATTTGATGACTCTGTGTACTGACAATCTCCTAGGAGACCCCAAATCGTGGTGGATGTTGATGGTTAGAAACCATACTATTGCAAGTAAATAAATTTGTCCAAGTGTCTTCAGAGGGCACTGGTTAATGATTAAACGCGCTACTGGTTGGAATAATATTAGCTAAATTCACGACAATATAAAAGAATATACGCACACGCATATATATATAAGAGAAGAAAAGTGGGGTTCAAGCACACCTGGCCAAGAGTTAAGGGGACAAGCCTTCCAATGGGCGGCCCAGGACGGCTTCCACCTAATGTACGAGATGAGAACGCACTGCTATATATCAGTTTCCACCTTCCTTGCAATTTATCAAGATCAGCTGAGAGATCTACTGGCCCTCCAACTTCTTCAATCTCCTTGGCAGCAGCATCTGCCTTTTGTAGATCATCTTCACTTGCAGCAAGGCCTCTATTTAGCCCAGAAACAGCACCCTGCAATTGACCACCCCTTGTGTGTGTAACAAGTCATATAGGTACTTATAGACACATGAATATTAGTGCACTCAAGCTTTTGCACTAATGCAAATACAATTCAATGTTATACATCACTCCATTCAAAACTCCACCTACCATCTCAAAAGTTGATCCGAGTCAAAAGAGTTGGATGCTTTAGAGTATACACCCTAATTGAGCTCCTAAAGCAGCAAAGCGAGAGAAAGCAATGACGATCTCTAAGAATTTCTTAGGATTGTTGGATTTTATTTTTCTTAGTGGTGTCATATGTTTCTAGACCCTGCATATTAAAAGAGAAATGTGACATGGGCATCACAAAAGCAGGCATATTCACAAAGCTCTTTGACCATTTTCCCAACGCCGATGCACAGCAACATAATTTATAATTTGACACAATTACTGTCAGGGGCAGAGCTAGGGGGGGCACCAATTCTTTTGATTTTTTTTTTTCACAGTTCTCTTACTTGTAATCCCTATAAACTTTTTATTGTAACTTTAGAAAGTTAGAATCTAGCGAAAGAAAAATTAATTCCATTATAGTGGTAGTCCTTACTACAAGTCTACAACATATCAATACTCCATTCAAATATTTACATATATAATACTTATTATCCATATGAATTTAAGGGAGAAAAAATGATTTTACTTTTTGGCCTATTGTATTAGTTTCTTCATGTTAATTATTTAAGAAATTTATTTTAATTTTTGTAGGTTATAAGTTTCTCATTATTTAGATTGTATTAAAAATAGCAAAAAATCTATTATATGGGTGTGTTCTCACTAAATTTTCACACTTTGACCATTGAGGTGCAAGGTTATGAAGATTATCCTCTCAATCAAACAGTTACAATGATGCAAAATGATAGACTTGGCAATAATCTATTTTCAGATATATATATATTTTTTTAACAAAAACTTATTATAATATTTTTATTTTTCTATTAATTTTTTTTTATATATAGCACTTTGGCCCCCCAACCAAATATTTCAGGCTCCGCCCCTGATTACTGTATCCACTTGACAAGTCACAACTTTACTGTAAAATTATATTATCCTACGTCACACAATCCTCTTCAACAGGTGTCGCTCTCGCTCAAATTCTTACTGCTTATAACTTAATTCTGCCGCTCTCACGCTACAGCTCTTGAATTCGCTCTCACTCATGCTTTATGTGACTTAGATATTACCATAAGTATCAAACACCATCCTGAAAGGAAAAATCCTAGAACTCTCTAATTCCTGAGATGCTAGGGACACAATGAATTATTTAATCATTTAGAGTTTATAAAGCCAATCACATTGTCATTCTCAGCTCTAGTACATTTATCCCATGAATGATAACATCATGTCATAGCAGCCATCATCAAATTACACAACGAAGTCTAGAATTTCTGCAAAAAAACAAATTTCTATTTTTGCAACAGAAACCCTAGTTCAATAAGTAGATTTCCACCTTTTCCCCATTTCCAGATAATTCGTTAATAAGCACAATTCATTAATCAAACTATAATGATGTCATTTCAAATATTTGATCCGGTACAATCATTTCACTCAAATCAATGAACCCATCATCAACCACAACCACAGAAACCAAAAAGAATCAACAAAATAAAGTATATAATTGAGCATATTAACAAACATTAAACTAAATTCATCAGAGTCAACAAAATGAAGTGTAGATACAAAGTACAAAATTTAAAGCATATAATTGAGCATAGTGACAAGCAATTAAACTAAATTCAACTGAACCCATGTCAGAAATTTGAACAAATACCAGTAGTTTGAGCTTCAGTGAGTCGAGCTTCGGCGGCGACGGTGGTAGGCCAGGAACGAAGCCTTCGCTGGCCACTGATTGGATAACGAGGTTTCTCTTAGGACGAGTGTTTGGTGGGTAAGAAACGTAAGAGACGAAGTGTCTGGGATGAAAATATGCGAGCGAAGATGAAGAAGAATGTGATGGTGTTGAAGAGTGAGAGACAATAGGTGAGGATTGAAGAAAAGAAGCCATAGAGTTTGTTAGGAAGGAAAATGAGAGATTGTGATTTTCAGTTCTGATTGGATGCACTGATTTTTGTAGAAACCAGTTGAAAATTCATGAGAATTGTCTCCTGTTCCAATTTGATGGCTGTACCACAGACACAAGGATTATCGAAATCTATAAGTGAAATTTAAATGGGCCCACCAACACCAGAAGCCAAATTACGCTACCATACCCTCGCAAGTAATGCCCTTTGACCTTGCATGTTAAAAGAGATACTGTGATGCAATTGTCGGCAGTCAGCAGCGGATTAAGAGGCGGCCCTAGAATATTCTTAGAGTGCGTATTACACCACTTACATACGATAAAAACATCACTAAAATTTTAATTTGATATAAATAGATAAGTTGATTAAAGGACACTATGAACACGCCCTCTCACGAGCAAAAATACCATTAAAGTTTTAATTTAGTATAAATTTAAACTCTAAATTAATTAAATTATTTTTACTAAACTATTTTATAAAATATATAAAAATAAATAATTTTATAAAATAACCAAAAAAGACACTATTAGAGGATGCTCCCTCGCGTGAAAAAAAAAAAAAAAAAACTCTTTAAAATTACGATTTGGTGCAAATAAGTCCCTCTGATAAATTTAAATTATAAGTTGACTAAATTACCTTTAGTAAATCATTTTTTTAAATATATAAAAATAAATAATTTTGTAAAATGGAAAAAAAAATACTATTGGAGGACCCCGCAATGGACAATTAAAGATAAAATAGAAAATAAAAATAAAAGTATAAGAGAAAGGTAAAGATAAAAATAGAAAATTAAAAACAAAAATAAAGTGCAAACTAAAGAAAACAAATCCGCTCCAAACTTTGAAAACCAGTGCACATTGATTTTTTTTTTTTTTTTTTTTTTGTGTTTTATAGTGTTGGTATGAAAAAAATAATAATAAAGAAAAAAAATAGTAGAAAATCGTAAACTGAAATTTCAAAAATTTCAAATCCTTGTTTTACAAATTCTTAAAGTTTTTTTTTAAAAAAATTTAAAGATATATATAGAGAAAAAAGTTTCAAAATAATATATATATACATATATATATATATATATATATACGGTAATGTACACATAACACCCATATATTATGAGATTAATAACATATATACCCTATTTGGCATTTTTAGAAGAGTAAAAGAACAAAATGGATATTACAGCACTAATTTATGTCAAAAATTTATGATTGAAGGGTATTTTTGCACAATGTGAAAAAATCAGGGGTATTTTTTACACACTTTTTAAAATAAGGATAAAAATGCTACGCGGAATATATTTTAAAGGTATTTTTTACACTTGTTAAAAAAAAAGTATTGATATATATATCAATACTCCTATCATATTTGTATTAGAGATAATACAAAAAATTATAATGTTATAAGTACAACAGTGTGGTGTTCTCATTTATATACTAATAAATCTTCTTATCATTGTTTTGGAGTGGTTGCTACACTATCGATTACTATGCACCCGACACCCACCGACTGTCATACATGGCTGTCCAATGTGTCAATTTTTTTTATTTTTTTTGGTTGAACCCGATGCCCCTTCTCTCTCTTTCTCTAACAATCGAACCCATCTTTCCGGCGGAAAAACAAGCAAGCAAAAAATCAATTGGAAGTCTACAACAGACAGAAAACAACCATGAGAAATACCATATACCATTTTAGTGCTTGTTGATGATTTCCTAAACCATCAAAATAATTCATGCTTGCTTAGAATGGGCGAACCAGAAAGCGAAGCGCCCTGGTAATGAGTTCCGTAGTTTGCTCTTGAATTACTTCGGAGAGAAGGTCGAATACTGCGGAGGATGGCATTCCGGCTTGGGTGCTTCTCATTGGCGAGTTATGCAGGGAACCCATCTTTCCGGCAAATCAAAAGAGCTCAATCCGTAGTCCAGATCTTCCAATCTTCATTGCCGTAGTCCACCAATCACAGAGCCACGTCAGTAAGCGTCGTTTAGATAGTGCCAAACACACCACATACCACTGATGCCACGCCTAGCCACTCGCCGGAAATGGTAAGTCGCGTTAAGTCCACGAGTCTCATGTGACGTCGGTCTCTGACATCCCATGCTCGCCGTCGACCGAGCAGCCACCAACAGATAGATGAATCGGATTCTGGTTGCCACCGCCGACGTCCCGACGTATTCACCGCTGTCCACCATTGCGGCTCAGATCCTTGTTGTCGCCGCCATTTTAGCGCCACCACTGAAGTTCCCCTCGCCGGTCAGATCATCCTCAGAGGTCCTCCTTCATCTACTTCAGCCGAGGCCCTCCTCCATCACCGTTCAGAGCATAGATTTGCTCTCTGTTTCACCGGAGACTCCCAGTTCAGTCCCGCCGCTTCATCTCCGACCTTGCCCACCGTTTTGTTGTCCGTGGCCGCCGTTCAGAGTACAGTTATGCTCTATTAGACAGTGGAGACCATCCTTCGATTCTACGCAGAGAGATGAGAGAATTGAAAGAGATAGATGAGAGAGCAAAGCTGAGACGAAGAAAAGGGAAGGAGACTGTGCGCCAGTTGGACCAATGTAGCATTGACACATAGTGTCTATTTCGGGTGAACAGCGGTCGTCAAAATTAAGCATGTTTTTTTTGTTGAGTGTTGCTATTCGGCCCGACTATTATTCAACCGACACTTACCGACTATCACACGGGGCTGTCCAATGTGTCAAATTTTTTTTTTTTTTTTCAACCCGATGTCCCTTCTCCCTCCTCTCTCTCTCTCTACCTAACAATCGAACCCATCTTCTCTGACAGAAAAGCAAGCAAGCAAAGAATCAGCTAGAACAGACGGAAAAACAACCACTAGCCAACTTCAGTGGTGTGGGTCAGATCCAGGTGACGCAACTCTCCGTCCGCCGTCTTAGATGAAATTCAGGTCATCAAAGACGCTGAACTGGCCGGAAACGGCTCTTTCGGCATCGTCATCGACCGTCCCATGAATCTGGTTGCCACCGTTGACGTCCCGGCGTATTCACCACTGTCCACCAACGCGGCTCAGATCCTTGTCTGTCGCCGCCATTTTAGCGCCACCACTGAAGTTCCTCCTCCATCACCGTTCAGAGCACAGATTTGCTCTGTGTTTCGCTGGAGACTCCTGGTTCAGTTTCGCCGCTTCACCTCCGACCTAGCCCAGTGTTCTGTTGTCCGTCGCCTCGTTAGTTAATAACATCAAAACTAACTAAATTAGAGAAATTTTAGGTTTTGAAAAGACAAAATAAATTGAAAAATTAGATATTTAAGTTTGAGTGGTACTTAAAGAACCCCAAAATTATTTTAAAATAAAAATCAGCGAATTCTTGGATCCGATAGAAGATAATTGGGTTTGTCAGCAGAGATAATTATATGGAATACAAATTTAGGATTTGGGTTTTGCAAGTGGTTTTATGAAATTTATTGATAGATTCATAGAACTGAAAGAAAATGAGGGGGCGCAGAGGAGAGGGTTGTGAGCTGTCAATAGAGCTGCGTAGAAGGGGCGAGGGATGACACGTGTTGAGTCGGTTAAAATTAGTAGCTCAAAATATCATTTTTCTTTTTTGTTTTTTTATTCTCTTTTGACATTAATTTATATATTTTTTTATATAAAAAAATTATATTTTTATCGGATCGGATTGAAAATCCGATTATTAACAAATCGAATTCGAATTAACTTATAAAATATTCATCAAATTATCGAATCGAGTAAAATGCTTATCGGAGTCGGATCGAATCAGGTTTTATCCGATCTGAATCCGTCTACAGGGAATGTGAGTTGTTCTCTTAGTATCTCGTAAATTTTTTATAAGTTTATTTTTTTAAAAAAAAAAAAGAAAAAAAAAATAAAGATGTACTTTTAATAAAAAATAATTTTTTGATCGTCTTTTCATTACTAATAAGATCCTCTTTCATCTACTAATAAGATCCTTTTTCATCTAATAAAAACAATTTAAGTTAAAAACATGACGAAGGTTCATTTTTTTTATTAAAAAAAGAAAAAGAAAAAAGAAACATATGCAAAATTATAGGACTGTGTTTAAATGAACTTTTATTAAAACTATTGAATCATTTATTCTTTTTAATTTTTACAACTATTTTGAAATGTTTTTTTCCCAGAATAGCCACCACTAAATTAATTAAGATGTTAAATATTATAGAGAGTCAAACTTAAATATGTGGAGGGACATTTTTTATTTTTAAGGTGCTTAAAATTCTACAATCAATTTGTTTTTCTTCACTTTTAACTCGAAATATATTGTCAACTTATCATAATGTCACTCGAAAGTCTAAAGCACCATGCACCACACTGAAATTTGGGCATATCATCTATTGGGCCTGCTGGAATTTGGGCAAAACTAGTGATTTTGTTAAGTTCAACCTGAATGAAAATTCGGGCCTGAAAAAATGTCCAGTCTCTCAATCCAGACTTTGTTTTTAGGCAAAGTGAGATGCCTTGGGCTAGCTAGCTAAATCAGTTGTTTCAACTGGCCCATCTGAAAAGTTTTAGCCCATCTAATCAAATTTATCACCTGGCCCATCTGAAAATCTTTAGCCCATCTAATCAAATTTATCGGAAAAGCTTTCCATCATCTACAAATTTGACTAGGTCATGTCATTTTTGAACCAGCAAATTGGGGTATATTATATAACCAAAAAAAAAATGAGAGAAGTTTGGGAAAATAGTTTGATGTGAATTTCTTTTATTTTTTCTTTGTTAATTACTTGGTACCATTTTGAGAAACTTTTAGTGGACATTTATTTGATGGGTACAAAAAAAATGTGGATGCAAATTTATGCGATTCACGATTCACACTTCTCACGTGCTTGTATTGAAAAAGGCAATCAACCAATTCTCAGACACATTTTCATTTTGCGATCATATATACTGATGTTTAATAAATATTAGGTACGATGGTCACACAATGCATGTGGTATGGGGTGCACTCCAAAGAGTGAGGGGGTCATCGTACTTGGAGTTCCACACTCTAGTTGGCGCTGAATTATTTTCACGAAGGAAAATGAAACCTACCAAAATGAAGTTTCTGATGCACTATTTAATTTCTCTGTCCACTCGCAACCTCTATGACTTAATTATTATTAATATTTGTTAATGAA